GTAATAAAAAAAAAATTTTATATTTTAATAAAATACTTTTTCTATTTGTTTTTGTTTGTATAAAATATTTTAAAAAAAATTAATTTTTTTTTATTTTTTAAATTAATATATATTTTTAATATTTTCAGATATTTTGATTTGGTGATATTAATTTTTTTTAAAAAAATATTATTTTGATATATTTTTAAGTTAAAAATACTATGAAATTTTTAAGGAAATATTTATGATATTCGGTTAAAAAACATGTAAAGCTTGCATAAAATTTGCTTTGCAAACTCATTTTTTAGTGATCCTATTTTTAAAATGCAGTTTAATTTATTATCAAACACATTATAATATTTATTATTTATTTGTTTCACTGCTAATGTAAAAAATATAGTTAATTATAGGCAAGGGTGCCCGTTTAATGTAGCTTAAGAATGGGGATTAGATTAGGAGCGATCTAAGAATGGACTAGATGAGTGAGAAGCGCTATGTTACGCGTCAAGAGTCAACTTAAATATTTGTTGAATATAGAAAAATATATTTAAATATTATTAATATTTTTTTTCCAAAAAAAAAGATAATAAATTGTGTAAGGGTTTACTTAATGTAACTTGATTGACTTTAGTAGTAAAAAAAAATTCATACAATCTATGAAAACAATAATTAACTAAACAAAATTTCATGATTATATGTTTTTTTAATATTAAAATAACAATTTATTGGATTGACATGAAAGAACCTGGATAAACGTGTCAAATTCATAACTCGGTTATGATAAGTCTATAGAAAAAAAAAAAAAATTATAAAATCTAATTTTTAATTAACCCAATATTAAATGATGAAAGTGAAAAAAATCAATTAAAAAGAAACTTAAAAAATATCATGAGTTAACATGTCAAACTTACCATATCATAAGAATAAGATAATCTAATGAAAAACAAATTAAAATAAATTACGAATTTAATTCCCCAACCAGCTTAATATTGAAGGATGAGATTGAAAAATAAATTAATTAAAAAAAACATAAAAAAAAACTTAAGTTAATAAACAAAACTTATGATCCAGGTCATTAGACTGAGATAACCTTATATAAAAAAAATAAAAGTAACATAATTTAATCTGGATTAACCTATCAAATCCGCGACTTTGATCTTGAGATTGATTGAGATAATCCCATAGAGAGAAAGTTAAAATAAATTATTAAGGTTGATTCTCAATCGTTCCTATCGAACCTAATATTGAACGATGAAATTTGTAAGAATCTTAATTGAAAAAATAACATAAAAAGTAAGCAAAGTCAACCCAAATTAATCATTAAACATTATTTCTAGGTCATAAGAACATGTAATCTAATAAAAAAACAAACCAAAATAAATCATGAAATTTAACTTCTAATCAAACACAATATTAATTTATAAAATTAGAAAAAAATTCAAATAAAAAAAGAGAAAAAAATTAGTTAATTTGGTTAATCCATGACCTAGGTTATAAGACAAGAATAACCCAATAAAAACTAACTCCAATATTAAAAAACTTGTGACTTGAATTATGAGACCGATATAACATTTTAGAAAAAAAAACAACATAATTAAACAAGGGTTAAAATGTCAAAATTTGTGATCTTGATCATGAGACCAAGATATTTTAATAAAAAGCAAATCAAAATAGATTATAAAGCTTAATTTCCAACTGACCCAACGTTGAATAATAAAATTAAAAAACAAATCAATTAAATAAAAGACACAATAAAACAATTTGAGTCAACTTGGATTAATCTATTAAGCTCTGTTCTTGGGTCATGAATAATGCTTACTGAGAAGGGGTATAATAAAACCCCCTTCTTTTTAAGTTTATGGTTAATAATAATCATACCTTAGTAAAAACACCGCAAACCAGTCTTGATGTTGGGGGCACATGCATAATTCTTATAGGGGGACCACGAGAGACTAATAAGATGTGTAAACAACTCTACAATAAGCAAAGATAACTTGCTCATTGGTTCTTACTTTGTTATGAGTTGACAATTTTTTTAAGTGTAAAAAAAAATATTAAGAGCATGAAAGAATTTTTTGGTGATGTTATTAAACCCAACTAAATGGATCAATCTTGAAATCTCCTAACTCGACTGCTTGTCTAACTTAAGTTGCCAATTAAATCACATGGGAGCTAACCTAACATGAATCAGCTGATTTTACAGGTTCAAATGCGACTTTATTAACCGATCAAAATATAGTTTGGCTTTAAAAAAAATATTTTAAGATGATTTAAAAACAAATAGTAAGATGACGCCATATTGAATTGACCTTGGTCACTCTATAACTGGGGTCATTGACTCCATTGGGTATAATATTGTTTTTTTGTAAAATATTTTTATTTAATTATATGATAAAAAATAGATGTTCGCAAAATTTAGCATCTATCCAAAAAATAGATATTTTAATTAAAATCATGATAAATTTATAAAAAGCAGAAAAAATAAATTATGAAGTATATTAAAGAATGAAAAAAAATATCAATAAAAAAATTAAAGTACTAAAACTAAAAAAACAATTATCAGTTTTGGTGGTTAAACCCATCGAATCCATGAATTGAATAACCCAAGTCAACATATGAAGCCTACAAACTTGGTCATAGACTCCATTGAAATTAATAACTTATTTTTTAAAAAATATATTTTTTTTTAACTATATGATAACAAAAATAGACAATCATAAAATCGAGTACCAACCCAGTACCGAGATGTTTTTTTTGAGATCATGATAACCTCATAGAAAGAGAAACAAAATAAATTAGGAAACTCAATTTTCAATTATTCCAATTTCAAAAGATAAAATTGAAAAAAACTAATTAAAAAATATAGAGAAAAATTAAATTCCAAACTCACGAATTAGGATAATCCGAGCTACCTTGCCAAACCTGTAACCCAAGTCATTGACCCTACATAGTTTAATATCTCTATTTTTTAAAAACCATTTTTTATTTTACTAAATGTTAAAAAGTAGATAATCACAAAATCAATTATCCACCCAATGACGAGATGTTTATTTGACATCACGATGACACTACAAAAAGAAAAAATAAAAAGAAACAAATTATAAAGTTCAGTTTTTAACCATTTCAATGTTAAATAATAAAATTAAAGAACAAACATGAAAAAAATCAATTAAAAAATTAGGATTTGTTGTACCAAGTGTTATATAACATAAATCTAGATTAGTCATTTAACAAACAAAATATTAAAGAGTGAACAAGATAACAAATACAAAACATGTTGGTATCAAACATTAAAATCCATGTTAAGTTTATACTATACTTATTCTTACACCATTAGTGTAACATTTTCACCTTGACATAATAAACTTAGCTAAACATAATGAAAGAGAGAAATATAAATAAACAAGATAAGAACATAAATAAGATAAAAGTTAACTAAGTAAATGAAAGGAAATGAAAGGCATAAAACAAGCTATAAATGAAAGTTAAACTTAAGCATTACAATAAATATAAAGAGAGAAAGCAAGAGCATGATCTTGATATGGAAACCTAAGATGTCTAAATGCATGAAAAATACCTCCTTTTATAGGTCAAAATTAAAAACTACTGATTTGATGATTAATTGATGAGTGGGTGGCCACATCTTGACTTAATGATGATCCTTATCTTCTTGTCTAAATAAAACATCATTGATAACATCAAAATTTGAAACAGACCTCCATATGAAATTCTAGAAAATTATCTCAGATTTTCAAGAAAAGAAAATTAAGATCATTTGGACTTCTAGAACTCAAAATATGGGCTGAATATTGAACAGTGTCTAGGCTGCAGGACAGATTCAAACTTCTTTGTTGTTGCTATAATTTGGGTTGAACACTAAAATTATAGGCCTATGTCTTACCTTTTGATCCATATAAAGTAGACCTAAATCCGAGATTTATAGCTCCAGATATGACCCAATTACCGAATAGTGTTCTAGTTTGGACTGCACTAATATCTCTTTTTTAAGTTTGGCAATCTCTTTGTCTTTTCAATTTTAGTACTTAAACTTGTTTATTAATCTAACTAATGTAATCATGTTAACAATTTATTTATAATCTCATTGGAACTTCCTTTATGTATGGTTTCCAATTGAATAATAAGAGTTTATACTATACTTGTTTGAAATACCATTAGTGAATTCTCTAACCTTGACATTTGTTGTTATCACTATTTAATTCTCACATTGATATTTCATCTCAAAGTTTTCATCAACTTCTTTTTCTTCTTTTACTATTACTATTATTATTATACTACTACTACTACTACTACTACTACTACTATTTTTGTTGTTGTTATTATTTATAATTTATACAACTAACCTCCTTGTGATTCGACCCTGGTCTTACCGGGTTATTTATTACTTCAACACTCCTGCTCTTGGAAGAAGACATCAATCTTTTGGTTGTGTTATTTAGCTAAATTTATTATATCAAGGTGAAAAAGTTTCAATAATGGTGTTAGAATATGTATAATATAAACTCAACATGAATTTCAATGTTTATATCCAAGAAAGTTTGTTATTAACATGTCTTATCATTTTTATCTTATTAATTTTTAATACCTTGTTAAATGATTAATCTAGTTTTGTATTGTATAACACTTGGTACAACAAATGCTTGACACTTTCATAGCCAATTGTATGGTATAACCTACACTTGTACTATGAATGGAACTTTATTTGTTGTTAATATAATTTAACATCATGAATTCTTGATAATATTTAAAAGTATGGTGTTATTTAAATAAGATAATTAGCATGATCATGTTAATAATTTATAATGAGTTATAAATGATAAATCATCCAAATGGAATCTCCTTTGTATGTGGTTTTTAGTTGAGTAATAAAAGAGTTTATATTATACTTATTTGAAATACCATTAGTGGATCCTCTGACCTTTATATTTGTTTTTATCATTGTTTAATCTTCACACTAATCTCACATCTCAAAATTCTCTTTAACTCATTATTATTATTATTATTATAGCTAACTTCCCTGTAGTTTAACCCTGGTCGGGCGGGTTGTTTATTATTTCGACACTTCTATACTTGAGAGAAGAAATCAATCTTTTGGTCGTGTCAGTATCCATTTAAATGGTATGTTTCTATGTCATATTATTTTTTATTCTTTTCCATTTTCCCCCCAAACTAATTGATATCAATGATATAGGTATATGATTTATTTGAAGAAAAAAGTGACCAATAAAGCTAAAGTAATGGGTTCCATATATGAAGCATATTTGATTAATAAAATTATGAAAAAAGTGACCAATAAAGCTAAAGTAATGGGTTCCATATATGAAGCATATTTGATTAATGAAACTACTAATTTTGCATCTTATTATTTTGGTGATGACATGCAATCAATATGGAATCAAGTTCCAAGAAATGATGATGGTGGCATTAAAAGTCTTGATGCACAACTTTCAATTTTTTCTTACCTAGGGGAAAATTATCCAGAAGATCATATACAAGACAATTATCAAGCACTAAAATGAAAATTGTACATAACTATATTTGTTTCAACTATGAAGAACTGAAGCCCTATTTATAGTAAGTATGAAATACTTTTTTCCATACTTTATTCTTAATACTTTAATTTTAAAATAAATTATTTATAATTTAGGCAATGTCATCAAGAGTTAAAGTTACAACAACCATATGCGAGCAATGTTGAAATAGAAAAATTATGCAAGGAGAACTTTTCAATTTGGTTGTAGTTTTATAAAATGATTTTTTAATTCAATTTTATTCTTTTAAGAAATTATTTTTTTTCAAAAAAATATTTTTATGGTGTTAAATGTTATGCTAGGTTGAATATCAATAAAATGAAATTGGGAATCAAATCTTTGCATTTGCTATGGGCCCTTCAAATTTAGTAAAATGTTATAATGAGTATTATGTGAATGGTTTTAAATTTCACTCAAAGTTATGATTGATTTAAAAAGATAATGAATAGTGGGGTTTGTGTGAAAGGAAGTTGTTATGATGACAATGAACGTGACTATTATGGAATGCTTAAAAAAACTGTTCGGCTAAAATATTTAGGGAGTCAATGCAAAGCATTCATGTTTAAATGCCATTGGTAAGATACAAGAAGAGGAATTAGAATGCATCGTTCAAATGATTTGCTTGAAATTAAGTATACTTCTCAACTATATGGAAATGAAGATTTTGTACTAGTGCAATAATATCAACAAGTCTACTGTACATGTTCATATGAGAATAAATCTTCTGATTAATGGATAGTTATTAAGACAACTGCTAGAAGTTGCTATAATGTTGACATGAGTGAATTTATTGAAGATGATAATAATATAAAATCATTTGATATTGCGCAGTTAGGTGAGATTTCTTAACCATATCATGTCCTTCCTACTCAGACACTTCATGACCCAAATATATTTGTTAAAGTATCATATTATATAGGAATCAACCATTGTGAATTGCTTTAGTTATAGACAAATTCGGTAGAAGTTTAAAGGCTTTTAGAAGAAGAATTTAATGATGATGTTAATAGTGATTACGATGATGATGATGATGATGATGTGGTTATGCATGATGAAAATAATGAGCAACATGATGATGATATATTGTAAAATTTATTTTTTATTTATTATATGTGGACTTATTTTTAAGTGATGTAAGCTGTGTTTGTATTAATGATATTAACTAAAAATAATTATTTTGTTCATTTTTATTTTCTTATTATATTAACTAGTTCATATTAAATAATTAAAAATAATTCAGTCATATTTATTCTATAATGTTTATTATTGATGCTATTTTTTTCATTCTATTTTAGGTATTGATTAGTACTTAAAAGTGCATTCTTATTAAGGCTTTATATTATCATATTGCACTTAAAGTATCATTAAATTCCTTAACTTAAGCATATTTTATAATAACAAGTCTGATAATATAAGATAGCTTTAATATAGTAAATGCTCATTTTAAATGCAGATATATTTCACAATTCAAAGGATTGATTAATGTGATTAACTATTAAAAGTGAAAGGACAAAGAAAAAGCTAAGCTTAGAAAAGAGATGCTGATTCAATTCATACTGAAATACTGTTTAGTTATTGGGTCATATCTGCAGCTGTAGATCTTGAATTTCAGTTTGGTTTATATAGTTAGACAGCTAAGACATAGACCTAAAACATTTATAGAGTCCAAGGCTCAATTATGCTGTTAGGAAATCCAAACTTATTATCAAAAGAAAAGTCTGAATCTGTCCTGCTGACACGATGAAAAGATTGATGTCTTCTCCCAAGTGCAGGAATGTCGAAGTAATAAATAACCCGGCAAGACCGGGGTCGAACCACAGGGAGGTTAATTGCACAAATTATAAACAACAACTATAAATAACAACAATAGTAACAATAACAACAACAATAATAATAGTAGCAATAATAATAATAATAATAATAATAATAA